GAATTAAATATATTAGTCTTATATATTTATCTTTAATAATAAATAAATAATTTATATTATTAAAGCTTAGTAAATATTCTTAAATATCTTATCTAATCCTTTAAAAAGGTTAATTTAAGATTATATTACTTATTTCTTTAAATATTATATTTTTAGCTAATAATTAACTATAGATTTTATATTCTTATTATTAAATATTAGTAATTTAAGATCTAAATATTAATTTAAGTAGTTTTTCTAGAGCTTTCTTTTTAAGATATTTTAACCTTAGATATTATAGGTATTTTTTATTTAAATTAGGAATTTCCTTTATATTAGTTACTCTTTCTTAGTTACTTAGAATAGGTAATATTACTTTTTTCTTATTTAGTCCTAGTTCTTATTATTTAATCTTCTAATTAAAAAATATAATATTATTATATATTTCTAATTAATAGACTACTTAGTTATTAAGTAAAGAACCTTATCTTAAAATATTATCTAAAGATAATATCTAAATACTTATTTTTATAAATAATTAAATAGCTAATATAATATTAATATAAAATCTAAGAATATAATAAACCTTAGTTAAAATTATTAATTAGTTTTTAGCCTTTTTTATTTTAATAATATTTTTTAAGATTTTTTTTCTAATACTAATAACTATAGTTAAGTAATTACTAGCTTTAAGTATATAATTATTAACTTCTTTATAGAAATCTAGATTAAGAAGAGATTTATTATTTATAATATATATTATAATATAATTATTAAATAGTATATATAAGTAATCTCAGACACGCTGCTACTGCCTCCGGAATGGTGGCAACCCCAAACAGGCAACGCGCGCGCCGCCGCTTTGCCCACCCACCCCTGCTCGAGGCCCTGCCCCGCCGCGTCATGCCCGCCGAAATATAAATACCATGGCCTCCTCCGTCCACTGCATCAGGTACTCTCGACTTATTCTCTCCCCAAAACGTTGAAGGGACGGAGCTCCTCTTCGTAGCTGAGTCCCAGGGCTTTTGCGTCACCTGCCGCCTTCTGCCCCTATGCCTGTCTAAGCCCGCAAGGCCCAGGCCCGACAAACCCAAATAGCTCAGACGAGTGATTCAGTGGTCTCTTGTCCTGCTTGACGCATGCAGGCATGCTGCCTCTTCAAGCCCAACTACGAGGTGATGCGAGTCTACTCTTCAGAGCAGACATTGGAAAGCCGGTATGCTTACAATACCTTCAAGTTCCATTCTGTTCTGTCCTATCCCAATCGCTAACCTGCTCAACCGGCACAGATGTCTCCCGACTTCCAACAGTGCCGACTAGCGACTGTTTGTCCGCGAAATTGTCTGCTTTGGCCAATCACAAAAATGCCTCACGATGCATGACCAGCATCTGGGTATGCCGAAATTGCACCGGCTGTCACGGGCCGCGCATGCTGAATCACCAGACCACTAAACCGAGCGATCCAGCGTGGATACGTCATTCGAGTGGGCATGAAGACGGTCTCGGCCGCTCGATTTTTCGGATATGCTTCCCAAAGAGGGCATATGTCCGATCTGGCTTCTTGCTAGTCGGAGAATGACGGAGTCGCGGATCTTGGCGCCTCCATTGCCTTGCATCAATCTGCAGCCAGCCGCGGTTTCAAGAATCAGCCCATGGGGTCGAACCAGCACCTCTAGCTCCTGCACGTAATCAGTGAGGCTGATTCGGCAGCGCCGAACAAGTGACATGTCACCGATTTCCTGAGCAATATCCTACACGAGTCGGCGAAACGTGCAGATACGAAGGCTTAAAATACAGCTTGTGTGGCTCGGCCATTACGTGTTTGGTGGTGCTGAACCTGCGACCAGGCTGTGATGAGCTGGGCGTATCCATCTTACCGCAAGGATGTCGTTGCTGCTGTCTTGCGAGGGAAGATTCGTCACGGCTCTGAGAGATGTCGGTGCCGAGACGGCCGGTGAGCGGAGAGGATTGACGTTATCGGCCTACTTAAAGGGCACGCGAGCCTGATTTTTCTACAACCAAGGCCTGAGCCAATCTTTCTAGCACTTTTTCTTTTTTGGCAGCTGACGTCACAATGATCGCCGCCGCTGCCCAGGAGCAGGAAGTCTCTCTGACTGCTTCAACGCCGCCCCGCGAGGAGAAGATCGCGCCTACGACGTGTTCAGAAGCTGTAGAGCATGAAGATAGAGCAAGCGCTCCAACTCCAACGTCTCTGTGCTTACCCCATGGCCCTGCATGTGGAGCGGCAAGCGGGAGTCAAAATGACGCAATATTCATTCCCTCTGACTCGGAGTCGGAGTCGGAGTCATGTGAAGCAGACGAAGACGTTCCGTCTCTCAGGGCGCTTAATGCGCTCATCGACAAGGGGACTACAACAAAGCCTAACAGCACCTCGCCAGGTCAGTTAGCTTCTAAGCTCTAATACACTGTTGATTAGAGGTAGCAAAACGAACGTCAAAACTAATTGCTGTGGCAGCACCAACGATGCCAACTGTGCCCTATACACCACGAGCCGTTATATCAAGTCTCAAAGTGGATGACGACCTGGATGGTGCTGTACAACACTCACCTCCTCCTGCTTCACTCACCACCTCGGCCCCCCAACGGCAAGGGCTTAGGAATGGGCTAGACTCCAGTCGGTGCTCAGCGAGTATATCCACTGCCGAGGCAGCTGAACAGGATCATGAGCAGGCAGAGGACGCAAATGAGCCACTGTCGAGCCCTTGTGGCAATCATGGACCGAGCGGCCCTGCCGAGCTGCCGCGGCAGACTCAGCCACATGAGAGTGGCAGCCAGAACGATTCAGCCTCTATCGACGCCGACGGCAACACCGCCGATGATGGCGACAGACACAGCTCTCGCGATGCCGATAGTGACAGTAGCAGCGACCGCAACAGCGGTAGTGACGGCGATGACGTTGACGATGACTATGACGATGACGGCAGCCCAAGCGATACCGACGGCGAGGACGGCAGCCACAGCAAAAAGCGCAAGACGGGCCGCTCGCCTTCAGTGACCGGTTCTGACGATGGTCATGCTGACGGCTTTCCGTCCGATGACAAGACAGAGGAGATTTTCCGTCCTTGGTCGCACAAACGCCAGAAACTCGCCCATGACAGAGAAGACACGACGCCTGTCCGTCGCCAGAACTCGATGCCTTGCTCTGCAGGACGCCTGTCGCAATCGCCTCGACGGCCCCAGACAGCCAGCATGCTTAGCCCACCAGCCTCTGACAGCCTGTCCGAATCTGAGAGCGATAAGGGTTCGGAATGCAGCAAGGCGTCAGCAGCATCCTTCGGAGAGTGGCTGTTGCAAAATGCCGCATTAAAATGCGTGACTATTGATGGGGTCACCACGTATCAACTGCAGTTCCAACGAGCGCAGGCGCACTCTTGCGGCCGACAGCGAGAAACGCGACCGCACAGACTAGTCAGGAGCAACAAACGAGGTCGAAAACCAAGGGATGAGACGAAAGGCCGGCGATGTGGTGTGTGCAACCGGCCTGGCCATAATGCGCGAACGTGTCAGAAGGGTGTGCGAACATCTAGCGAAGACAGCAGCTGTGAGTCTTAATCAGCGATGACTATACAGCACTCCTGCGGTAGGAAGCAATGGGGAGCCTCAGAACTGTGGAAGACTTGCAAGAGCAACAGCACATGACAAACAGCACACGAGAGATGTTTCTCGCAATGGTCATCGGCACGTAAACAAATTTTTGAACATTTCACACATCTATTTATCAATACGAAACAACTGCCGAGACGTTGGGAGCTTCATTTGGATGTGAAGCCGCTGCTACTATCTGAAGCCGCTGCGTTTGATGAAGGGGTCCTAACCGAACAGTCATGAAAGGTGCGTGTGCGGGACGCTAACGTAACCTACTACCTAACGTCAATCACCCACTTCCGTGTCACCCCCAGACACGGGTCAGGGTGGCACCTCACAAGCCTCATCCATCGCACAGTAAATATTCACGTCAGGATGACGTGATAAACCGTGTTAATACGAGAGCATATACATCTACAAATTGAGAACGTCTCACAACCCGGTCCAGCCAAACTTCCCTGTGTAACAACTCGTCTGAACGCAATATCACACACATGGATCACGTAGCTCTGGTGGTGGTGCAGTAGCTGTGGGCGAAGCAACAGGTCGCCGACTTGCGGTAGCTCGTGAACGGCTCTTCGACGAGCGTCTGCCTTGTGTAGGGGAGCTAAATGGCTCTCGGGCACGTTTTAGTCGTGAGGTATCTGTGCTTAGAGTTGTGAAGCTCGACACGAAGCTCATCGATGGATCAGCCGTCCCTGGTCCTGCCGTGTTTTGGTCGGTCTCCTCTAGCTCGTCGGACGCGTAATGATGCTCGGGAGTGGTAGGTGCCTCGCCATTGTCTTCGCCGTCTTCAACAAATGACTTGCTAATGTGTTGTTGAAGCTCATCGTGTGAATCCTGCCATGTCGCCGCTTCGACTTGAGATGCAGTTTCATGCAGCGCGGTGTTGTCGGAAATCTGGTCCGTATTCTCCGCTCGAGCCGCTAGCACTTGCGAAGCTTTAGAGTTGGCTGCCTGAATGAGAGTCTCTCGTTGTCGGCGACCAAGGTCTCTGGCATTTCTGAATGCAGCTGCCCCCCGTCTAAAAGTGTCAATATTACCGGTCATTCCCCAGCTGTCAAGTTGAGTCATATGGTATTCCGGTGGCTCTGCCCCAGCCCTCGGATCAGTGACGTGATGGGCGTATAACTGAAGTGTGCCGGTGCCAGCATGGTAGGTAGAGCTAAATGTGCGGGCATTGCCATCATAGACTGGCTCGTCCTCGCCATAATTCTGCAGACTGTGCATAGCACGAGCCCCGATGGCTCCGTCCAGGCACGCCTGCCGCTTTGCAACATCGGCGCCACCGCGTGGAGCCTTGGCCTCGACGAAGAAGTTTGGCACCACTGGAGCACGTCCGTGACTTGTAGGTATGATGGTATTGTTCAACTCTTGCTGAACTCTCTTGTTAATGTCTTTTGAGAACGACCCGTCGTACAAGTCGGGAACGGCGTCAACAGTAGTTCCTTCAGTTATAGAATCGAGGTTCGTGAATGGGAGGTTGCCCTCGTTTGGGATGTCAGCGTTGCCGCATATCGTTGGAAGTATCCCGCTCATCACTTTGCCTTCAGATATTACGCGGTCGTTTGCCAAGGCAAAGGTCTTGAATCTCGAGCGCGGAAACTGAGAAGGCGATAGCGATGCCCGAGGAGCTGCCAACGCCTCAACAATATCGTCCAAATTGCTAGGCTCTGGTATCGAATCATCGTCGGGATATTCGTATCCTTTCGGAAAAATCTTGTGATCGATCAAGTTCTGCTCGAAATCTTTGTCATAGGCAGACGATCGCTTGCCTTTCGAGGAAACGCTTGTGGCCTTTGTGGATTGAGTCCGTCGGCTTGATGCTGTGGAGGCTCGGTTTGAGCTCATTTGTGCGGCGTGTTTCGGTTCAGGATACTAGTCAGGCATCAGTAGACGCTTTGTGGATTGCTTGATATCGGACCTACCCCTCGAAGATGGCCAAGATCTGGTCCACCGCGTCTTGCAAATCGAGCGAGAGTTGTCGGTGTTACACTAGCTGCCGAGACTGTAGCAGGAATTTGTGCACCGTTTCGCCGGTCTTTTTCGCGTAGGGCTCGAGGCGTAAGCCAAACTTTTGACAGGCTGTCCCAGAATTGAGGGGGAAAGTTCGAGGCGATTTGCACCACAGAGGTCGACTTGACTCTCTTCGCAGGAGGACTGGCTTGCGTGGTATCGTATGGGTTTGATCTTTTGCGGTTTTGCAAGTTGGACCCGGGTTGTTGCTCAGGAACGGAAGACGGAGAGGACATTTGGGGATGATGGGTTGGCGTGAACAGCGCCAGCTTCTGCAGAAACGGCCGGCGCGCAGAAAGACGAAATGATAGGGCGAGGGGAACCGCGGTTTGCCGGGTGCGGGTCGAGTGACAAATGATCCATAAGTGCCTGATATTTACCCGCCCACTATGCTGCTATCAGGAGCGTGCTGCATCAGAGTGGACATGTTTGGTCTGGAATCGTTGGATGACGAGTGCAGGTCGCCGAAACCTGCGTATTTACCGTCGCAAGGATGATCTGGCTAGGTTGGTGTGATTGTGGGGTTTGGAGAGCCAGCTTCTGCCTGGGTGTCCTTTCCCCACCAGCAGAATCGACTGGGTCAGGCCGACCTCCCTCTCCCATTCACATTCCATTTCTCAACCGCCAATATGGCGGTCGACACGGAAAATGAAGGTACAAAACATTTGCTGACTATGAATGTAACTGCGTTGACTGACTTGCGGCTTGCCAGGACATCCTTATCGATGAACGATATCGTATCGACTATAAAATTGGTGAGGGGGGCTTTGGTCTCGTCTATGCTGGTACATTGGTGTTTTCGCTGCTTTGCACAACTTCTAACGTGACCAGGGACCGATACGCAAATGAACGACGAGGTTGCCATCAAACTTACGCATGTCAACACCGACCCCGAAATTCTAAAGGCCGAGGCAGACACCTACAAGGGGCTTTCCGGGGGCGTCGGAATACCGCGAGTGCGATGGTTTGGTCAAGAATGCGACTACTACGCCCTGGTCTATGAGCTTCTTGGGCCATCTCTCGAAGATCTCTTCAACTATTGCGACCGGCGATTCTCGATTAAGACGATACTCCTCATAGCCGACCAGGCTATTTCTCGAATCCAGTACATTCACGGCAAGGGGTTCCTGCATCGTGATATAAAGCCAGATAACTTTCTGATGGGAACCGGGACCAAAGGCAACATATTATACGCTATTGATTTCGGTTTGGCGAAGGAGTTCTGCAATGCTGAGCGGTTTCAGACTATGCAAGGCCGGCCTTTTGGTGGCACTCGGCGATACGCGAGTTTGAACAATCACAATGGACGAGGTGCGTTCTGCGTAGTCCTTGTTGCCGTTGCTTGCTAATTTTGCAATAGAACAGTCCTGGGGAGATGACTTGGAGTCGCTGGGATATGTGTTGTTGTATTTCGCGCGTGGCTCGTTGCCTTGGCAAGGGCTCAAAGCTGCGACTGAGGAGAAGAACGAGTTGATCAAACAGAAGAAGCTAAAGATGCCGGTGACAGAGCTTTGCGAGGGCCTTCCCAGGGAATTCGCGACATATATTAGCTACACTCGGTCGCTGGGATTCAAGGACAGACCAGATTACGCCTACCTTCGCCGACTCTTCGGCAAAGCCTTCTCGGCTCGTGGCTTTAGATACGATAACATATTCGATTGGACAGAGAAGCGATTTGTTGAGATACAAGGCGACAGCACCAAAAAAAAAGCGCAATGATCCAGCAAGTTATGGTGTAAAATATCCATAAATCGTGAAACACAGATGTCCAAAGGCGCCGGGAAATAATGTCTTGGAGAAGCCATGGCTCAAACCGTTTTTGGATCGTTTCCTGTTCAAGAACCGGGAAACAGACGGCAAGGCAAGCTTCAGCCTTCCGTAGCAATATTGTGAGGTCACACGCAGTACTTTGGAGGCTTCATGACGTATATTTAGCCAGTAAGATCACAAAGACAGTGGGATTGCCTGGCCAGACCTTGTCCCGGAGCAACCCCCTGTAGCCTCCAGGACGTGTGTAGATGT